ATGGGGCTGCCTGGCAGGGATCCCTGTGAGCTTTGGGAATGGGGCTGCCTGGCAGGGATCCCTGTGAGCTTTGGGAATGGGGCTGACACAGATCCCTGTGAGCTTTGGGAATGGGGCTGCCTGGCACAGATCCCTGTGAGCAGTGGCCTCACAAGTGTCCTTCCAAGCAGACACACCATGGATGTCCTTCCATGTACACACGTGCAAGTTCATGGTATAGGCACTCCTTTCAGTCAGGATGGGGTGCTCTGAGGGGGATACCTGGGTTAACAGCTTGCACAGAGAGGAAATACACATTTCAGACACCACTGGAGACCACACGGCCCCGTTTCTCTCCACGTGCACTAAGGAACCTCGGGGGCAATTGGCTCTGCAGGAGAACGATACCCTGCATGCCCAGGCAGGTAAGCTTGCAAAAGGGAGGAAGGATTGCAAAAGGCAGCCTGTGAGCATGTGAATGAACCTGCAGATGTAGGTGTGCTCCTCCTTGTGCACGCAGGTGAGAGGAGGAAGTTGATACATTACATTAAATGTCCAATTTCACCTTTCTGGCAGATGCTCTTCTCATACAAACACCTGTACCTGCCCATTCACATCAGTACTCAGACAACCTGCAGTGCTTTTTAGTGGCCTGGATGCCTGAAGGTTAGAGCTCACCTGGTGCAGGCATAATTAAGAAGCCAATGTTCTGGGAAAGGAAAGGGATACTGAAGATGTACATACTGAGGAGTTGGAAGTCTTGCCATAAGGATTTCTTTATTTGCACATTTCCATGGTTTTTTCTATTTTCCACTTCAGACAGTGGGAGTGTGCACTCCCGAGTTAGAAAAGCAGCAGTCTGAAAACCTGAGTGAGACACAAACCACGAACACAACCCAAGATAGGAAGATAACACACTCCAGAATTATTTACTCACAACAATGAAATGTGGAGGAACAGGGGTAGGTTGTAGCAGTTGGGAAGGGCAGGTTAAAAAAGGGGCCCCCAACTCCTTGTTCCTATAAGCTTCACCTCCCAGGACTCCACCCTACCAGGCATCCTCCTTGTGCCTGGCTCAGTGTGACACACAGACCTGCAATAAATCAGTGCAAATGATTTATAGACTCCTGAAATACCATGGGTCTCAGCAGCAGAAAAAACAGATTCTGCACAGCAATGGCTGGGAATGATCTCACCTCCAAGTTTCTTCAGGGATGGGGTTGTTTTTACCATGCTGACACAAGATTTCAGATCAAAGGGGGATTATTGCACATCCTGCCTGCAAACACAGCCCACTGACACCACCCTCACTCCCTCAGTCACACCTTTTCTGCACAGGTGGGCAAGAGAGGCACTGCTGGGCACAGAAGAGAAGAACAGAGGGAGCAGGAGGAGTTGTCAGAGCCACTACCTTCTCCATCCAAACAGCACTGCAGCAGCTCTGGAAAGTGGCAGTATTTTGGGATGAGGGTTTTCCCCGAGGAAAGACCTCTCCCTGCCCTTGTCCCTTCCACCCCTGCTGCCAAGCCAACTGCATTACAGCAGTAAAGGCAGGATGCAGGACGTGCTCTCCAGCCCTCTGTGTTTTCTCCCTCCCCAACACTTCATTCACCCATGGAATAACAAAGTTTCCCCATCTCCAGCAGGAGCACAGTGTGCTGTGTAGCAGCTTGTAAAGATGAGGAAAACATTCCTAGTGGAGAGCCCACTCCAGAGAGGTTAGTGCCTGTCAGCAGCAGCAGTAAACAGACTGCCTGCAGCTCCCTGGCTTTCCTGGCAGGGAGGCACTGTCCTGCCTGTTACAACTTGTTTTGGATGACAACAGCAAGCCACATTTCGTGTGAGGAGAGTGTGCCCATCTTCAGCTCAAAGCAGCCTGCTTGTTTCTCTTCACTCAGTTGTAAACATGTTTAAGATTCCTAGGAACACCTAGTGGGCAGCAAACCAGCCAAACATGCTCAATTAAAGAAAAAAAAAAAAAGGAATGAAAAGGCAAACCCCACAACAACAGAATCACCCTCCTACTCATGAGCACACAGTCTTGCCAGCAAGGCTCTCTGGGAAGAATATGAACAACTATCACCTTAATACACTCACATCACAAAAAAATCCAAGTTTTTTTACTTTACTTGACCAACTACTCATTTTAGCATCACCTTCAAAGGAACGCCATCACTCACAAGAGCCCATACAATCCCCTGTGCCCGTCCAGCCCATCCCAACCTCCCTCGAAGCTCAACTTTCCAGATCAACTTTGGCACACAGAAATCCCAAGCCGTGGTGTACAGCACGAGTCCTGCACCTCAGGCTGATCCCTCAACCTTTGACTTTAATGTTACAGCAGTATTTAACTCATGCCAGAGACTCTCCCAGCACATGGTGATGAAGCATCACGAATGCCAATGGATACTGATGATTACAGGATGCTCTCCTAGACTCCTTATTCACTTTTATCCAAACTATTAAATATGCATGACTTTGTTGCACAGCAAAGTTGGAAATACCTCAAGAGAGGACAGTCAAGGCCCCAATTTTTAAGCATCACTTCCTCAAACACCCAGCCCTGGGCATCTGACATCTGCTGTCTCCACTACAACCACACACTAATCTGGGGGGTAAGAGGAGGAGAGGACATAAAGCTCAGGAGGATCCACCATGCCTGAAGACTTGCTCTGAGACACTGACTTGAGAGCAGGCATGGTGTGGGGGCATCAGAGGGGCTTGTGCTCCATCTCATGCATGACTGAGAGGAAAAGTAATATTTTCTCTGAGTCCTTACAGCATTGCAAGAGGAGGAATCACTTCTCCAGAAAGAGAAAAAGATATTTGGCTTTCCATACACAGGCTGTACTACAATGCCTTTTAGGAAGGCAAGAAGAAACTCCATTACAGACACAGGAGATGGAAACAGTGATCTCCTGTAGATCTTTCAAGCCCAGCAGCTTTTCATCTTTCTGGCCCCAATGGCCTTTTAGCCTTTTGCCTAGAAAAATTGCCCAATACAGAGCTTTTGTATTTTATCATTAACTGTGGAGGCTGTTGCATCAGCTAAGTTGAGGTGGTAGCTCTTGGTCGGTCCCAGGAGTGACTTACAATAGGGTTCCCACCTGGGACATGCAACAGAAAACAATGCAGAAACAAGACAAAAACTATTAATTGCTTGCAGAGTCACTCCCCTCTATACCAGCTTCCCAGGAACCTGGAAAGAGTCACCACACAGAGTCACAAACACAGCCATCTCTGTCCCCACTGAAGAAATATTACTTAGTTTTAACGGCCAAAATAAAACAAATACTATTTGTCTTCTGCTCGGATTTCTGATTTCTCTTAAAACAAAACAGGCTTTTAGAGGTAGTAGGGCAGGAGGAAGGGTGGGGAAGGTCACAGACTAACCTTCCTCCTGTTAGCAGGTCCAAGGATTCTGGCAACAAGGCCAAGAAAACATGACACCAAGTGCCCAGTGTGACCACAGCCCCCTGTGATGCTGAGCCGTGAGGAACTGCCTGCCAGAGGATTTTACCCTCCCACCCTTTCCAGCAGCATTTAAATACCTTCTGTTTGCAATGAGCAGCAACGTCTCTGGTGGATTTGGGAGAACCTGGAATTTTATATAATTGAATTTTAATATAATGCAATTATTTTGTTCATGTTCTGTCTTCGTTGGTAGTAACTGTAGTAATCTCACTGTCTCCAGTTTCAGTCTTAAAACAGAACGACTTCCATAACAGAGATGTAAAAATAACCCTGTCTTAAAGCAAAGAGGAAGAACCCAATTCACTAAGAACATCGTTTTCTCCTGCACATCTCTGCTGTCCCCACTCTCTCGGTGCGGACATTTTTCTCATCCCCTCCTTTTCCCTTTGCATTGCTGGCAGTGAAAGGACCATCAGCTGTACAACTCCAAACACCTGGCTCAGCCCCTCTCTCCTCATTTTTAAAATACTTTTCACGTGTTTTTTCCCTTGCTTCTACACAAGCCCTCTGCCCACCTGTACAAATCTTCTCTAAGCATTTTTTGGTGGGGTTTTGCCAAAGTGATGTACAGTAAAAGGCACGGTGAGATTGCATGAAAGATGTAATGCAAAGTAGACTTGTAGAACAACTCATCTTCTCATTTCACCAGCCATAAAAAGAGGATTATTACTAGAGGATTTATCCTAGCCAAAGAAATCAGATCTGTTACACTGCTGAACAATAAATATGTGTTTTTAGTCTTAATATCACATATAATAGAGAACAAATGTACAAGTTTGTGGAAGTAGACGTTCCTGGTGCTCCTTTGCACAGTTACAGTCCAAAGCTTTAAGACAGAAACCAAGCTTGACTCGTGGGAGTAAAAATCAGGAGGTTTATAACATGTAATGAAAGGACCAGTACACTAGAAACTACCAACAGTTAAACACCAACACGCAGTTGAAAACATACTTTCAAATTAGATTAGTACCAAGTACGGATATCGTTTAAAAACCAGCAGCAACATCACAGCCTTTTACAAAACCGTGAGCCATTCGAAACTTTTCCGTAACTCCAAAAAGAGAAGCGCAAAAAGCCACAGCACACTGTCAGAATTTTCCTCTGCTTCAGAGGAAAAAAAGCGCTTAACCGGAGCCCTGCTGTACTCCCGAAAGTTTGCACAAAGCGAGCCCGGCAGCCTCTCCAGGGTACGCATTCCCTCCTGCTCTGCATGCGCTTCTCCTCGCATCAAAGCATCTTTGCCGCCTTCCAGGTTCGCACCAGGGCACCAAGAACGAGAAACATCCCAAAGCCTCTGGGCTCTGTAGCTCCAGCACGAGCAGATTTGGGTAGGTTTGCCGGCAGAGAGATGGGGTGAGAGCCGGCAGGCCGAATGCAGGAAAGCAAACCCGCGGTGCCCCGCGCAGATCCCCGCTCCGACCCCCGTGCGAAGAGGGCACGGCACGGCACGGCTGCCGAGGATCGCGGGCTGCCGGGGCTGCCAAGGACGGCACCGCCCGCTCCCTTCCCTCCCATTCCCTTCCCTCCCGCTCCCGGGGGTCACTCACTGCGCTCGGGGGCAGCCTCGCCGCCGGCCACGGCCACCAGCTCTAGATAGGCGGCCCAGAGCCCCAGGGCCAGCGCGCCCAGGGCCAGCAGCAGCCGCAGTTGCCTCCGGCGCCGCAGCCGCGCCAGCAGCCGGCCCCGCATGGCGCCGCTCAGGGCTCCGCGCTGCCGCCGGCCCGGGCCGTGCCGCTGCCGGTACCGCTGTCCCCGCTGTCCCGGGCCGTGCCGGTACCGCTGTCCCCACTGTCCCGGGACATGCCGCTGCCGCCGCTCGGGCCCGTCGCTCCCACCCCTGCGCTGCGCGGGGCGGGCCCAGGTGCGGGCGGCTCCCGCCTCCCTCCCCCCCGGGCAGCTCCGGCCCCGCTCCGCCGCCGCCCCCCGCACCTGCCTCCGCCCCGTCCGCTCCTGTGCTGCCCACACGGCACCGCCTCGGAGGGGGAAGGCAGCTCCAAACCCCACTCACGGCCGCTCTACGGGCCGGCAGGAGTGTTGGTACATCCTCCCAGTGAGGGGATGGAAGAGGGGGAACTTCCCTCCTCTGGCGGGAGGGAAGTGGGATGAGAGGGGACGATTCAAATCACGCTGTTACTACACGCAGCTGAAGGCATTTGAAAATGTCTTTCACCTGGTGCAACAGGTGGATGTGCTTGGAAGGGCGTTGGAAGGCTGGTGAAGCCTCCAAACCTGCGTTCCGCGATGTTACATCGTCAGATCCCTCAGCGGGAGGAAGATCAGGCCATTCTCTGGGTAAAATTACCGCTTCATTACATAGCTCAAGCACACTTTTGAGTTCTCAGAGTCCGTCCCATACTGTTGGTTTCATTCACATCCACCAAAATATCTTGGAGGCTGCAAACTGGATTCCTCCTCGGTGCAGGAATGTGGGAGATACTATCTGGGACGTACATCGTGTATCCAGCTGGGGAACTAAGCCAGAGTTACCTCTTTTCCGAGAATGTATGATGTGAGTGTTGGGTCAGTGGTGGAAACTGTTTTCCTTCATAGCTCCACTCCTGCACAGATGCAGCTCCTGTGTTGTGTTCCATGAACACAAGCTCTCATGCTGAAGTTGGCTTTTCATGAAATAGTGGTACTCCTTTTTTTTCTTGAGATTGTCATTTAGAAGATGCAAAAGGATGGTGACTGTACTTCAGCTTTAAAAATGTGCCAAAAGCCTTTTAAATGGCATTAAGGGACATGGAACAGTAGTGTGAGTCCCAGCAGGCACAGGAGCAGCATCCAAGCATCAAGTGATGAACAGCACGTTCCCAGCATCCAGGCAGCACTGAGAGATGCTGCTCTTACCTGTCACACACCTGGGATGCACCAAGGGACAAGAGGTTTCCCTTATATGGTTCCAGAGCCATCTCCCTTCAGCTCTGTGCTGGGGAGGCTCCTCTTGCTCAGGGAGAGGCAGAGCCAGAGGGTTTGTACCCCACTGCAGAGCTGCAAAGAGAGGTTTCTCAAGTTGGAAACAAACTCATGGTGGGGGAGCCTGGTGAGTGGCTCTGTCCTTGGACTTCCCCAGCCTCCCTGGGATAAAGTCCATTGTGCAGCTGTGGAAGATGCAATGCTTTGTTCCTCCTTCCTACCCCCTTTGAGGCTGCAGATGCACATCCATCATCTGAGCTTGAATAATGGGGGATAATCCCTCCAGTGTAAACAGAAAGAGCTGCCAATAGCCAGACACCACCAGTATCCACACAACAAAACATGAGAAACTGTGTGCACTTCCATCTTTACAAGGCAGGACTCTCATGAGAGCATGGCCCTGCTAGTTTTTTGGTGGTGTGTTGATTTGAGGTTTATCCAGCAGGAGAGAAAAAAACCCAAGTTTTTGTATTTGTTCAAAAAAAGGCAGAAAATTCTAAGAAAAGTGTGTAATAAACACAGATCTAAATTAAACTTTGTTTACCATTTAAAGAATGAGAATTGAATTAAGTATTCTTAGCAGAAAGTTGTCTGCATTTCTTCAATGAACAACCTTATTCTTGAAAAATAACAACTGTACTTTGTTGCACATTAAAGTAAGTAATCACATTTTTCTCTAGCAAACATTCGACTAAAATGGAGGGAAGGGAAAAGTGAAAGTGGAGGCTAAAAGTAGCATTGACAACTGATAAAGAAATTTTTCCCTGACAGAACTGTGCTGTGATACAAAAAAGCTCTTGTCTCTGGAGAAAAAGCTTATAGACTATGGCATGGTACTATCCTGTTACAATATAGTCATAACAGAACAGTATTAAGGAACAAAATTCATCTGAAAGTGTAATAAAAAGTGAAGTCATAAACTTGACTAGCTCTGCACTGTACTTAAAATAACTTATTTTGGACCACTTATTCATTGCAGAAAGAACAGATGTCCAGGAATAAGATTCTGGCAGTGTTTAAAACCACCTCACATAATAGTTTTTATCTCAAGTCTACTAGCAGTCTTAGAGTCTCAAATTCTCAGGCATCCCAAGTCCCATGAGTGCATGCCCAGACCTCCACCTGTCTCATGCTCACTGTGTGCACGGGCTGGGGTCAGCTCTTCAGGGAGAGGAGCAGCAGGAGAGCTGGAGGTGGTGATGCAGGAATAGGGCCCGTGGTGTGTGGAGCTGACCTTGAATATTGGACAGTGCTGCTGGCTTCAGGACACATCTGAATACCCACTTCAAAGCAATGGACTCTTTGCCAGAGGAGCCAACTGGAATGTTTTTTGGCTTTGAGCTGCTGCTTGTTTTCTATTTTAGCTATGCTTCCTCATGATAAAAGCAGCCTTTGATACAAATGCAGCACTTAACACACATCTCCCATTCCTCCTGCCTCACCCCTCTCTACATCCATCTCTGAGCATCTCTGCCTCTTCTTGTTATGGTTTTGCTTCTAGTTATCTAACAACTGTTTCTCTGTTCTGTAAATCACTTTTAGCTCCATGCCAACATTGTTTCTCTGTAGGCTCCCCAAAGGTTCAATTATCTGCCACTTGCTCCTTCCCTTCTTTCTTCTTGTGTAATTTTTAACACTAATTGCCAGTTCCACACCAAAATACCCAATTGTCCCTAGACTTTACCACCCTGGTGGCTTCATACTCCTCTTACCGACCTCAGCTATGCTCTGAAGCACAAACAATGACTTCATCTCAACATTCTTCATAGAAATGGCTCAAAGGCCGAAGTGTAAGAGGACTAGGCAGCTTCTGAAGACACAGTTCCCCATTATTTCTCTTTTTGGCTCCTCTGGCATGTCTGGTGGACCAATCCCAGAAAAATCCCAGTCAATGCTGCAGTTGAACATCACTGTAAGGGAATCAGTGTGGCCCCACAATTAATAACCTATCAGCAGAAGGACCTCCTTGCCCAGTGAAGTGGTGTGATACACGGAGCTGTGTTAACATGGTCATATTTTACCAATTCAGTTGCACTGCCAGCATTTGTATGGCATGGCCTGGGTTGGGGTTTTTGACTTCCTTTTGCTGCACACACAGCCATGACTTTGACTGACAGGATCATGATCCCATTGCTCTCCTACAACCTGTCTGGCTTTTTTCATGATTCTGCCTTTTCTCTTCAGTAGCTCTCAAACCCTCACTGTCCAGATAAAGTTACACAGAAATGGTTGCCCTTCCTTTTCAACTAGCAAGAGGACACTTTCACATGAACTTCATCCAGTGCCTCTAAGAACACATCCTGACTGCATGCCCTGCCCCAGGAGTTGACCTGAATTACTTTCTGCACATCAGAACAATCTCTTCGTATCTAGATCACACACCTGCACTTCCTGAAAAGTGATTTTCTATACTTTAAGCTGAGAACTTTGAAAAGACTTTGCAGGCTTCAGATACTCATCATAATGAAAGAAGAATATACGCATTGAAAACATGGATTTCCCAAATTATCCAATCTAGTCTTGCATAATTTCTTCCTTCCTCTGTTTTAATCATAATAATATGTGGTTTATAGTTTAAATGACTGTGCTTATCAGCCTTACTTTTCAAGAAGTCCCAAAGGTGCATCATAGTCATGTTAGAGACATTACAGGACACAAAGATAAGCAGCATTCCCTGTAGACATCTGTCCACCCAAGTTAGGGCTGAAGAGGAAAAACAGTTGTACTGGATGGTTTAGAAGTGACACCATACTGAGATAAATGTTTACAGTAGAAGAAAAGCAATTTCATCTCTGAATCAATACAGGAGCATTTGGCACATCCCAGACATGCTTCACCAGGGTAAATCCTAAGCTTTTTATTGAAATCAAACCCATTTCAAGAGTGAATCCCTTCATGCCTGTGCAGTTAATAATTGTCTTGCTTTAACACTGAAGCACTTCTGTGTTAAAAGCCCTTCCGAGTTTTCTGAATAAATCCAAATAATCTCTATTTACACATCTGTCCCCAGTCCAACAGAATCGCAATTCTTAAAATATGCAATTTAGTCAGTGCAACTGAACAGTCAACCCTATTGAGGACTCTGTTTTTCAAGCTGTATTTCTGGAGCTTACTTGCAGGGCAGCCACTCTACCCCATATTCAAAGATGCCCTTTCTCCAAATTCACTTGGTGCTAAATGGGAAATACCAGAAGTCCACCACACTCTTGTCAAATACTTTAGTCATAGCAGAAATGTTTCCTGCCAGTGGGTTAAAATATTGCTCACCTCTGATGGCCTGGTTTGGACAGAAAATTCTTAACTTTTGATGCAACCTAAGAATCCAAACTTGGCTCTTTTTGTCTAAAACCTTATGAAGACAGCAGTCAAAAGGAATCACTGCAGCTCCCACCATTAACACTTTCTACGGTGTCCAAGAATGTTTTGGTGCATAATCCCAGTCTGTAGGCTAAAAAAGTGTGTATATTTCTACAGCGAGACTTGCACATTTAAGGGAAATTCTTTAGGGAGTAAAGGGGATATTTTCTCACAATTTAAAGCAGTCAAAATAGAAAAGCAAAATATTGCATAAAAATTAGAAAGAAAACCCTTAAATGTCCATAATATACTATTTGAATGGGGACAAATAGGACATCTTTATTAGAAGTTTGACTGAGCAGGCACAAACACATTCTAGAACATCAAATTAAAATGTGTTTGTGAGCATTAAAAGTCTGAACAACATCACTTTGCATGAGTATGATCAGACCCACCAGAAAAAAGTACATAAGCATGTTGCTCCCAGCTAGTCTCAAAAATACTACCTGGTTAACAAAGAATTCCTGGCTTACATAGAAACATTTCTATTCCAGAATATCAGGCTGCCAAGAGAGTCTATCCACAGTGGTAAAATGTAGATGTTTTCTGAAGTGATAACCCTATTTACATAAGCAATTTACACCTATAAGAACTGTTGATCTGCCTGAATGCAGTCACAGCATCAATTCACTTGGGAATTACTGCAGATTTTGATATAGGAGGATCACAACAGATTTTTTAAAATTTTGGTTTGGTTTTGTTTTACCTTGTGTAACCTTGCTGTGCAGGGTTAGCTGACACAGCATGTCCCTATAATTAAAGAAACTGCATGAAAACTAAAAAACTCCAACAAATACTGCATATAAATACATCACAGGTTTGAAGCCAAAAAGAACCACTAAATGATTTCCTGTTAGCTCATGTCATTATATTTCATTAAGTTCTAATGGGTCAAACCCAGCAACTTATTAAAACAAGCTACCTTCTCCAGAAGTAATTTTTTGATTTGAAAATAGAGATGAAGAACTTGTTACCTCCACACCTAGTTTGTTACAATAAGGGGAAAAAGCACAGTCTCCCTGTTAAAAATGTATGCCTTTTGAAATTAACTTCAGGTTCAGGCTACTTGTTGTTGCTCAGCTAGGATTGAGAGGCCTTTAGTAGGGTTTTTTTTTGTCTTCAAGAGACACATATTAATCAGTCTTCTTTAAGCAAGACAAAATGAGCTCTTGCACAACTTTTCCTCTGAATCATCTGTGGTTCTATGCCTTAACCAATATTTCAACATACTTTCTGAAAAGTAGGCACTTACTTAAATGAAGCTACACAACAAGGTTTCCCCTACTCCTCTATTTATCCAAGAGATATTTTAGTATCTTGGCTCACAATAAGAACATTTGTCCAGTTCTACCTTTAATCCTGTACTATAGTCTCTCTAACCTTAGAAGCAGATACTTAGCAAATCTTTCAGATTCTGTGCTCCCACACTCATAACCTGGCATTAGCTGAATTGAAATGATACAAAGTCATACATTATCAGTCATACATTACTGACTTCAGTTAGCAAAAAAGCTAATCTTTGGAGTAAATGCTATTTTTTGATTTCTACCCCAAAATTGTAGGAAAAAAAATGAGTAATTAAGGTAGTGGAACTTCTCCCAGGAAACTTTTTTAAAAAAACACCAATACTGCTTTGTTGACATTCTAAAGGGCAGTTGCCAATGGTAGGAAGCACTTGGCTCTTTAAAAGCAGTTCTTAGCACGAAGGTCCCCATTTGTTTTGGCAACATTTCACATGATCACGTGATGTCACACAGAATGTACAATACTTTGCACTTCCTGCACTTGGAAAAATAGTCAAACTTCCAAATGAAATAGATTTACAGAATAGACATACCATAATTTCCCTCCTACCTCCCCCACACAGGAAGTGATCATAGCTTAGTGACATACTAAGAATCATGTCCAAATTGCACTTTGATTTTGATACACTAGCAGATACATTAGGAATGTTGTCATTTTATTCTGTTCAGTCTTTCTGAAGTCTAAAGAATAGTGGTAAGGAAGACAGGAAATTAAACATTTACATCCTTCTTCCCCCAATACTTCCTCCCAGTCTTACAAACCTGAACGTCAAAGCTTGAAGTCCTGACCCAGATACACTTCATGGCTTTCAAGTGAGGAAAGTGTCATTTCACAAGCAATTCTTTCGCTTAGAACAGCTGAAAATAAACAGGATCCTATAGGTTCAAGAGACCTTTTTGCTAGGCTCCCATCAGCTGAATTTAAGTAGATGGATCTTGCTGAATGAGTGGTTAAGGCTTCATTATGTAGCAATTTTCAGAAGTAGCCTCTTGGGCCCTGTGATAGGATTGATATCTTCTCCTCAAGCAAGAAGTATGTTATTTCACATACAAACTCACTTTAATTAGCTTGATTTCTCTAAGAAAGTACCAGCCAGCTAAGAAAGAGTGAGAGTAAATGATGGATAACATTAAATACCCCTCTTTAACTGTCCACATCTCACTGGCACCCAAGTTGTTCATGAACCAGTTTCTGAACCAGTTCAGCATTTTCAGCTCAACATCCTTTAAAACAGCTCCTTGCAAGCTGCAGTGTAGTAGAGCACCCAGGGACAGACTGTCACCCACTCACACTGAACTGTGATCAATTTGCCCTTAAGAAGACATAAAATAACACAGAATAAAAACACAGAATAAAAGCCACAGTACAGGACCATAAGGGACAGAAAACTCATAACAACTGAAGCGGGCATGGATTTCTTAAGGGCATTTCTCCTCCTGCATTGCTTTAGCTGAGGCCATAAAAACAATTCTTCCTTCTCCAAACCTTCACAGCACATAAACATCCATCTTCTCCATATCTACCTATGAAACACTAAATGAGGATCTGCAGGGCCACTTCCAAATCCAAAAGAAATTGCCTGCTTCCACTCACTAAGTTCTTCTCAAAGAGAAAGGAAGTGTTAGTAGCCTACATAGTGTATACTTCAGAAACAAGGTAAAGAAAGGTAAAGTAGGAAACAGAGGCATTGAAATGCCTTCTCCACTACAGATCTGCTCTCAGGCTGCAAGGTGGAGAAGATTTGCTGACACTACAGTAAAAGCATGAATACCTGTAATTACAAACTCAGCTGAAGCCATGTTGTAACCCTTGTCATGACTTCATCTGTTTTCTAGAATTGTGATGTCTGGTATGAAGATAATAATCATATGGCTGGAGAATCATTATATAGCTACAGTTACAGCTCTCATGTACCAACTGGGCACCTGCTCTTCCACCCCAGTTTGTTACAGTTCAGTAGCAACAACTGCTAAAAAACTGCAACTGCAAAAGCTGACCATGATTTCTCTGCACATAACCATGATCTTGTTTAGAGCCACAAAGACAGATAATATGGTGGTTAAGAAAGATACTAGATTCCCTTGATTATGGGCTTTCCTCTGTGTGTTAAAACAACTGTGAGGAATAGGAAGAGGAATTTCAGCTGTGTAGTATCTCCCCTCCCACCAAGCATCCAGAACTCATGTAAATGTTGCTCATCCTTGCAGAAGAGTTCTATAATGGGTTATCTTCTCCCACCATATTAAATCAGTTAGGTTTGTTCCAATCAGGATAAGCCAAGCAAAGAGGAGCCATTTTAAAATAGTTATCCTGTCCAGGACTCAAATGTAAGACATTTTAGTGCACACTTTCTATATGAGAATTTCCATTTACATCCTGAGGTGCTAAGCACCAAAACAGTAATCATATAAACTATTTTAAAAGCTGCTTCTCACATAGGAAAATGTCAGCCAAAATTCAGATCTTCAACTAGATCTTTCTATGATTAATAACTTCATTATGACCATGTATGTGACTTATAATATGCACCAAAAAAATAAAGGCAAAGGACAGTATACACTGATCCCTACCACAAATAGATATACACACACTCCTGATGTATCAGTCATCATGTACTTTTAAAGTCAGTTTTATCAGGTGCCATCTCTCAGCTCAAACAGCAATATAATCTGGTACACTAGGAATGGCTCATGTACACTTAGGACATTAACTGCAGATTTCCTCAACCTTCTGTCAATGGATGCCAGGAAACAAACAAGCAGGAGCTGTTCTTACAAATGACTATTCAAGTCTAGCTTTGTCCTAGTCCTAAAATTAGGATGCCAGCTAATTATTCAGCTTCAGCAGTGCCGTAGTTCATCCTCTAAGCTGTAGATTTTTGTTTTTAAGTCTTTCAGTTCTCCTTGAATTTTACGTGTTAGTTTGTTTCCTTGGCAGACCTCACGTAGAATTGCAAGGTCCTGGTCTGGTCCCAAATTCAAAGCCACCTAAAAACAAAAAGAAAAACAAAGCTGTACAGTATACAATTTAGGGAGTATTATGAAAAGTATACAAGGGAGAGAACTCTAAAGGAGACCCTTTGCAGCCAGCAAAGAGGATGGTAAGTTAATAGCACTAGGACAATGCACAAATAGAAAGGTGCTCCAGAACCAAAAATAAAGAACAAAGCTTACATAATATTATGCTGTTGTATTATAGCACTGGCATGAAAGAAATCTTAATAGCATATAACCATGTTGACTCATAGCCTGTTTACTCCTTTCTAGTTCCTGTATTATTTAGAGACACACAAAAAGGGGCAAGTTAAAGTATTTATCTAGTAACTTGTATCTAGTTCTGAGTATCTCAGGAGATGACATCTTATCTTTTGCTATTAAAATTGGAGGTGTTCTAACTGCTGTGGCTGATCTGCTGCCCCCCTCTGAACCATACAGGATTCAAGAGAAGTTCAAGTCCAATGCCTTGACTCAGGCAGTGCCACACGGCCTGTACTGAGTCTAACAAAGGCTGCTGGATAATCAGAATTCCTGATGGCAAGCTGGCCAGGGCTGACATTTCCTGTCACCCTGTAACTGGATAGCATGCCAGCCCAGCCACTTTCAAGGGCACAGCATTGGAAGCTGCTCTAAAATCCCTCTATTCTCTTGACCCTTTACAGTTTCTTATTGTGTCATCATGTAGTTCTCAGTCCAAGATTTTAATATGCAAAATCAGGAAATTTAGTCATCTCTAGTCATTTTGACCTCGAGTGATGAGAGACTGAATGATCACTCTGGAGACTTCTTGCAAGTATTTTGTTCCCCTGCCCTCTTGTGGTTAACAGTGTTAAGAAATTGAGACTACAGTGACAAGCATAGCCACAGATATAAAACATACAAGTCTGCAGTAAAGGCATCATACACACTTTTTCCCACCCTTTCATATATTGCTGTTAGTGCTTAAAGAATAAAGCTGAAAAACCCACAGGCCAAAAAAAAATTTGAAGCCTTTAATCAAAATAAGCACATTAGTCTGTGTAAACTGAACTGTGCATCAGAAGTGCAGGAAAAGAATGAATCAGTAGCACTGCCAGACTTCTGCAGGAGAGTCTAAACTATGCCAAGATCATTCTCTCAAGTATATCATAGATAAATGTCTCATCCTAAACTCTAAGCAACATCAAGGCTGTGCCTTTCCCTCTAAGTTGTTCTGATGTTTTTCTACACATCTGGAAGCTACTACAGAGAGCACAGCTTCAACTTCCAGCCATCACTTCTGCAGTGATTTTTGTAAAGTCACGAGTGACATACTAAAGTAATAAAAACACTACTCACAATACTTATGATCTGCCTCTTACTGGAACAGAACACTATGGCTCTCACAAAGAAAATCAATCATTTTCTTTGCAGGATAAATTTCTGAATCAAACTACTGCCTTGCAATTTTGAGACAGCTAACTAAGCTACAGGTATCATGTAAGAACTTTTGAGAGTGGAAACAAAAATACACAGCTAATGTATAGGCAGCAGAGTGTCTGGTAAGCTTAATGCCTAATTGATAAAGATAAATCTTTTTTGTAAAATACAGAGGAGGCAAGTTTTGTCAGATACTGATATTTAAAGGAGTACTTAGAAAAGGTATTATTTCCTTAACCCTTGGGGAATACTATGTTAAATACTGAGAATACACCTCTATAGGGTAAGCCCACAAGACTGCCTCAGAAAAGCTTAGCTGTTACCTTATAAATATGCTTCTCTACACCTCTCATTTTCTGCTGAAGCTGTTTAATGTCATTCTTGAAGCCCTCTACTTCCAAACTACGACGTTTTTCCAAGGCTTCACATCGCTGAGTCATCAGTTTCAGGCGCTTCTCCAGCTTTCCTGAGCGCTCCTATGGAGATGAAATCTCAATAGGCTACACAAAAAAAAAAAATGCTGGCAGATCATCACACAGCCAGCAGATGATTACAGACTAGTTACCTTAAAGAGTTCTTTGCCAGCATCTCTCTCCTCACGGATCCTAGCCACCTCCCCTTCCAGGGACACACACTGCTCTCTGTACATGTGTGACAGGTGTTTTTCCTGCACTAGCTTGTCTTGCAGTAACTAGGACATAGGAGGAACAGAGAGAATTAACTCTAGACTGTGCTTACAAAATTTCACCCTGCTCTGGACAAGAAAGTATGATAACACTGCCAATATGACAGGAAAATAAAAATTAACAACTGGAACTAAAGTTGAAAAGTATGTGAGGACAATACTCTAACATCAGTCGCATTACCAAAACCTTTGAATTAAGTTACCAGTTTTGTATGACTGCTCATCATTATAAAATAACATTCAACTAAATGCTGTAACTCCCCTTTCTTAGCTGCTTGCCCAGTACAGCATTTGAGAGGCATCTGCATTCAGGGGTAGATAGAAACAATTCCCTATGGCCTATTTATTTCCAATTCCTTATTCCAACCTCCCAGCTTCTCACTGAAAGTGTAGTGGAAGAGGAAGAAAAATTGAGACTGCTAGAGAAGAGCTGGAAGACATCAATTGAGAGAACTCATTCTCCCCTGACAGCAGCAAAGAAAATCCAGACACAGCAGTCTAAGACCATTAGCTCAGAGAACTTACATGAACAAAGAGCCATGTGCAATTAGCAGGTTAGAAATTCTTGGCCCCACTTATCACAGGGCTTACAGAATTAGGGATTTTTTTTCTGGGCATGAAAGAAATTGACAGTGACATGCTACCATAAACCCTAACTATACATTCTAGCTGAAATTTGAAAGTGATGCTGATTTTGAAGCAGGACAGGTTTTTCATTTAGATTAGTGCCAACAACAATGTAACTTAAGACAATCCAGTACAACTTTGAAACTGCTGCTGATAACTGTCTATTGTGCCAAAGCTAAGTGCTCGCAATTTTCTAGTCAAAAACTGTTAAAAGAGCCTCTACCAAAGACAAAAAAAATATTACCTTTATTTCTCTGCTGTGGACTTTTGAATCTCCATCACTTTCTTGAAGCATCTTCTTCAGCTCTCTCTGCTTCTTTTTTCCTGACTCTGTGCTGAAAACAAGATGATCCAAGTCTTTGCCAAGTTTCCTCAATAGACTGTCCTTCTCTGCCATCCATGCTTTCTCGTTGGCTCTAGCACTAAACCTGAGCTGTAGAAAATCCCGGGTACTCTCATATAAGAGGTTTTGGGTCTTATGGAGCCTGCAAAAAGAGATCCCAGTGGAGTTAAGGTAGGCACTAGGAAGGAAGTTAATTTCATCAGTCATCACTACAAGTTGGAAAAAGCACAGAAGACAGGTGGTCTAAATGTGAGTTTAGCTCTTCTCATCTAATGAAAGAAGTGCTCTTCCAATGTGAGAGAGGACTTTTAATAAGCAGATTATTCCCCTCATTCCACACACACTAGCAGATGGCTGCATAATTTGCTTTTCTGCCTGCTGCAGGAAGCAACACATTCAAAGTCATAACGTCTCTATTGCTCCCACTCTTCTCATCTCATGACTACATCCCAGTCATGCTCTCACACTCACTTTTCTGTTACAGTTTTTATCTTGTGCTGGTCCCTCTGATGCCGGACCTCAGCTTCCTCCATCTGAATCCGCCTGTCCTCCAGGAGTGCCTCAACCTGTTCCTTGGCTAATCGTGTCTGCTCTTCTATCTGAGCTTGCAGGGCCTTCACCTGCACAAGCAAACAAAGACATTGCAGGACAAGGCCTCACACCAGCTCTACTCCTGTCTTTGCAAGTCCCTTTAATTCCAAGATTTAGATCAAAAACTATACCTGGTAACACCTTTGGCAGTTCTAATTTCTCAAGCTTTTGCTTTTGCTTTGTTTTTAATGCTAAGTATTTCAAACAACTAAAAATTTTTTTTACAATCATGCTGTAGGCAAGAGAGGCATACTATAAGGAGCAACATTAAGATTTTTATATTGTTAAGATAGAAATTGCACACATCTAACATTGTTGAATATGCACAGACACTTCTGTACCTTTGATTGAACAAATAATAAAAACCACTATCAATATCTGCTGTACAAGTTTGTCCATTATTTGCTTTTAGTGATTCATTTCCTCGTACTTTACATACAGCTTCTGGCAGCTTCCCCAGTTTGTGATTCTGCACATTTTATCTTTCATTCTGGCATGCTACCTTTACCTAAACTTCCATGGAGCTCTAGGAAAGGCAACATTTTATTGTATCAGTGCACCTTATGGGGGCTGTCTAATACTGTCTCAAACACATTGTTTTTGTCAAGCTTCCACAATACACCCAACCCTGCACATCTTCAGTGGGTTTAATGTAAATTCATATCTGCTATCAAATGATGGGAGATAACATCGATTACACATTCTATACTTAAGGACAACACATTTCAGTTGACATTACTGGAACATCTGCTTTCATAAAACTTCCAGAATCAATTCTTAAATTTACATTCATAGGAAAGAAACAGATAAGTAAACTGACAAAGTGTGAATCCATATTAAGATGCAGGGATTTATACAACTGGTACATCTACATCTTATCTAAGCAGGCAGCATATTTTATCATCATTTTCTGCAAGCCAGCAATTATGTCTATCAGTTAGCAAATGCTTTTACCTGTAGTAGAAGTGTTTCATCACCTTTTTGATATCTCTCAGAACTTTCTGGATTCTCTCCATTTGCTGATGGTTTTAGAGTGCTCTTCTCTGTACCTACAGAAGAAATTGAACAGAAGTAGGAAAGGGTTTTCCAATACACTTGCAGTACCTTTCCAAGCATGCCATATTTGTGTTCTGGTGGGCTTATAGAAACAGCAAAAAGGTTGCCACTGCTACACAGTCACAAGGACTTTCTAGGAGGGTTAGCTGAAAGAAAAGAATTCTAGAACTTTGGGTGATCACATACCTTTATCCCCTCTATCGTATTGCAGTATCTAGGCAACCTCCTAATTTTGTCAGCATATGTAGAAAGAAAACTTGACATGCTTTCTTAAAATAAGTGATGAATAGGCAGATGCCACAGCTGCACAAACATCAAAGCTTGAATGAGTTTTGAGCTTGTTGGCTAATTTCAGACAATTTGATGAGAATTATTTCAAAAGAGAAAATTAGCATGTAGGTGTATGGACCCATACTACTGTTTGCCCTAAGGGCAAGCAGGACCTGACAGCTTGGAGTGGCTGTGGCAAGGGTGCCTGGCCAGTTGGTACCTGCACAGTTCCAGAACAGCCTCCTCCTCAGCTGAGCACATCAGGGACACAAGAGCCAGCTAAGGCTATTTTAAAGGATGTTGAAGGGAAGACAAGAGTATTGCATGGACACATTTAGGGAACTTAATGGAGATTTACCAAAGCATTCATAGACAGGAATTATTTTGGCCTATGGGAGACAGACACACAAAAAAAGCAAGGGTTGAGCTGCTGTTACTCAGCTTGGTGTGGTACCTGTGCTAGAAATATCATCTTGTTCCTGGGTCTCTGCTGGCCTTTGCAGAACAGTAACCTACAGAAACAAGACATATGCACTGAGCATCTACTTCCTCAAAGGTGCAGTAGTCAAGAACAAATCTTAAAAAGTTAAAACAGATATCCAGAAGAGCAGCATTATCTTACTTCTACCACAAGACAAGAAAAACATTCACAAGTGATGGCTGAGTTTTGCCATTACTGCCTCTATATTTTTCACCAGAACAAATGGAAAGTAATTCTGCCTTTGATGGCTTCATTAGGATGAAAATCAGCACCCTCAGTACGAAAAAGAGCATTTTGGAGCCAAAGAAAAGAGGAAGGTGAAGATGTTATTTCCTTCTTTTATACTCCTCCTTGTCTCAGCAAGACATAGAAACATGAAGATTCATTAATCAGCACATTCATTCAAGAAACCGATTCATTCATTCAAGCCTGAGATAAAGGCTAAGTGATAAAAACACAAACTCAACTGTTGAACTGAAATCCACCTATAAAAATGGAGGCCATGAAAGAGCAAATTATAATCCCAATGCTTATCTTTAGGTTGATATTTCATAATAGGCCTAATTTTAGAGCTACTATAAACCAGGAATTTTAAAGCTTCTGCAAGGTTTTTGAAGAGCTTGAGCGGCTTAGAGCAACCATGACCAATGGCTGCCTTTTTGTGCACCTTATTCCAAAATAAATCCTATATTCCTTTCATAGTCTCTGTATATCCAAATCACTCATGACTTTGAGTAGGTTCAACTACACTGCACGTCATATGCACTGCCATTTAAACAATTCAACATCACTTCTGAAATATGCAATACAATGCTGTCTAGAGGGGATGGATGTTCAGTCTTCTGCCCAGGTAACTGCTGCAGCAACCTTGATACATTCTTCTTTACTGAAGCTCTAAGAGACAGGAATTCTAAGATAGCTGAGCTTCAAACACTGCGCCCAGTAATTTTCTGCACTATTTTTTCCCCCCTCTTTTTGGGGTGTTTTTGCCATCTTCTTGACAACCATTTGCCAGAGGACTTGAGACTCCTATCAAACATTTTAGAGGCATGTTTTGAAGGCAGGAGGAGGCTGATGCTGAGAGGACCTACTTTCAGTGTGCTTGTTCTTATTTACCTTTCAGCATTGCTACTAAAACCCAATGTTGCTACATATCCCTCCTTTTGGGCTCATTTAGCAGCCTTAGACTCGTGGGACAGATCTGGTTTGTGGTCAGATTCTGGGATACAGATACTCATGTTACAATTCAAAGATGAGATCTACCGAAAAATGGAACTTGCCTTATGTGGAGGCTGCTTATGAAAATATGTAACTTCTCCTTCATCTCTTCCCAGCAGAGCCAGGAGTCGTTGGATTTTTTTTCTGTCCTCCATTTCCCTGCATTCCAAAGGAAGTGATGAGCAGATTTTTTTTAAGTACATCACAACATTGTGACACACTATCCTTTTACTTTACCTATTGATATTTGCAAGTTTTCCAACCTGTTGCAGTTCCTAAGAATATTGCTTTAAAAGCCAGCTCCTAAAGACATTCTTGATGTTGCCAATACAAGAAGACCACCAATTTTGCTGACATTGGAGAGCATTTCTCTTGTCAAGTACGACAGTACTACATAGGCTGATACAATACCACATTGTGAAAACAATTTGCATTAAGAGTTCTAAATTACCTAAAATTCTTTCAAATTGTAAGTGTCCATTGTTTTTAAAACAAGCTACACTAAGGGCTGTAACAGATTTTTTATCACACTCTTGAGAAGTGCCAAAGCACACCAACACATGTTTTGACTTAAGTTCTTAAATCTTTAATGGAAAAATTTATGCTGGAGCAAGGAAAGAGAATGAGGAGGAAGAAATAGCAGAGACAATATGTAATGAATTGGCCACAACCCCTATTCCCTGTCCCCCTGTGCTCCTCAGGAAGAGGAAAATTCATGAGTGAAGTTGAGCTGTGAGAAAGTTACTCTAAGATCTGGGTTTATTTCTCATTATCCTACTCTGATTTCACTGAATGATTTGGATTGGAAGGGACCTTAGAGGTCATGTAGTTTCAAGCCCCTTGCCACAGGCAGGGAACCTTCCACTAGACCAGGCTTCTCAGAGACCCACCCAACCTAGCCTTGAACACTTCCAGGGATGGGGCATCCACAGCTTCTCTCAGCAACCTGGTCCAGTGCCTCACCATCCTCATAGTGAAGATTTTCCTGCCAACAACTAATCTAAACCCACCCTCTTTCAGTTAAAGCCATCCCCCTCATCCTGTCACTACATGCTCCTGTAACAGTCCCTCTCCAGCTCTCTTGTTGGCCCTCTAAGTGCTAGAAGGCAGCTATAAGGGCTCCCTGGAGCCTTCTCAAGGTTCAACAGCCTCTACTTTCTCAGCCTGTCTTTGTAAGACAGAGGCTCCAGTCTTCTGGTTATTGAATTGTTAATTCCCCCCAGTCAAGTCTGTTTTGCCTGTGATGATAACTGGTAAATGATCTCTCTGTCCTTACCTTGACCCATAAGTCTTTTCTTGTATTTTCTCTCCCCTGTCCAGCAAAGGAGGTGAGTGATAAAGAGTCTTGGGTGGGCACCTGGCATCCAGCCAAGGTCAACCCACCAGAGATAGTTTTATTCAAAACTTCACATTCAAACTGGTAACACACAATTGAAATCTGAACCAAAGTCCAACTTCTGCTCTTCCTTCTACTACCAGAATAAGAGGAATAATACATGAAAACATATTTTGCAACCCAACAGATTGCACTGCCCCTTCACTGTGGGACACATATTGAGAAAGTATGAAAATTACAGCCTGAAAAATATTCCAGGCTGGAGCTTTTCAGCTCTGTTCCCAGCCGATAAGCTGGTCCAGATCAAGGCTAGGGACAATTTCTCCCAAGGTGGTAATTTGGTCAAGATAAAAAGGAATTAATAACAAAGATAGAACGCCTGTTGTGGTGTGTGACCAGGCCCTGGGAATGGGGTGTCTTCTCTCTGAACCAATCACCTTTTCTCTACTCTTGGAATTGTGAGTCATGCTATAAACCAAGTGTGTTTCTGAATAAACTTGTCTCTTTCTTCCTGTCATGAGAAACGACCATGTAGCTGTGTATCTTATTACCACTGCACTTAAAGGGTTAAAACCCCTTTCCACAGCTACATTCACTGGTATGGTTTTATAGGAAGTGTAGAATAATTGCTGTGAGGACTCCAGGTCTGGCTGAGAACACCATGCACCACGAATTGCTGCTGGCAGTGCCTCAGCAAGACAGCTCACCTGAGTTTCAGCCTGTCATTCTCTGAGTAGAGACGAAGCACTTGCTCCTTCTCCTGGAACAGATACACCTGCATATCACTCAAAGCCTTCTGCAGCTCTGCAATCTCCTCTTCCAAGTAGCGGATTTCCCACTGCAACTGGTGCTGAGTGGAGAGAATGAGGTACTTGAAATGAAACAGAGCACTGGACAACACTTACAAACTGCTTGTGATCTCAGTCTGGGACTGGTACAGAACAGCCAGCTCAAGAATTATTTCATTCTCTATAGTATTTGACCAGATGAGGGCAGTGTTGGAAAAATTATTTTAAAATGTTTCAGCTGGGAGTTCAGAGCTCTGAGAATCACTGTCACTACACAACGGTGAAATAAGGCCTCAGCTTGGGTCTCCAGTTTCCAGTGGTTTCACTTCCATGCTGATGGTGAGAGCAGGTATGGGGAGTCTGACATCAACAAAAGCATAGTAAAGCCTCTAACAACATTATCTTTTGAAATAAATCACTGAAGAACGAACATTAAAATATCTGTATGATTTAGCAGTGAGAAATCCAGCTAGTTACTATGTTTCATTTTTCTGCCTGGTGTAGGAAGCTACTAACCATTACTGTATAAAAAAAGCATTATGTTGCAACCTGCTCCTCTTTTTCCCATACAACAATAAGATGTACAGTACATACTTCCCCAAGGACTTTCAGGGTGCTTCAAGCACAGCCAGTGCTTGAGGAGGCACCTCAATCACCTCAGAAGTGACAGAAGGAAAATTCACACTGTGAAGACATAACCATGCTGTAATGACTTTAGAAGATATGACAGACAGCTAGATTTTAAAATCAACCCCAAAATCTACTTATTAACACATTACTGATAAATCCCAAGACTTCTGTGCTGAGTTTCCAACTGAATAAAAATACCAAGCTTGTGAATGCAGTGCATCATTGTTCAAAAACTCATTTCCTAACCTGCTCATCATAGGCTTGCTTGTATTTCTCCAGCCTTTTCATCAACTCCTCATGTTCCTCATCGAAGTCAGCAACCTTCTTGCGGTAATAGTCCAGGAGCTCATGGGAGGGGCTAAGGTGAGTCAAGCGCTCACTCACTGATGGGAGAGGAGTGAAGTCGTCCTGACTCGGGAACCGGGACTCAGCAGATCTGGATGAGGCACGGGGGGTTGACAGCCTGGACAGAAACAGTCTCTGATGACATGTAAGCTTCAGACAGGAAAATTAAACCACTTTTTAAAGTGGCTGAAGAGATTTTAATTTTTTTTTACACAGATTCGGTTTAAAACACAGATTAGCTTGATTGTTCTCTGGGTATTAACAGGAGATCACGGCATTTAGGAGAACCAAGAACTCTGATAAAGAGCAGCTTGCAGGTGTATTGTACCGTGAAGGAGGGCCCAACCAAGAGAAAAGAGATATTATGGAAGCTCCATACATTATTTGGGGAGGAAGACTATGAAAAGAAGAGAGTAGGACAGAACTCAGGGTCTAAAAAGTCCATTTCTGTTCACTTAGAAGCAGCTATCGCTGTGAAATAAACAGGAAAACATAATCTGTGACAGTCACAATCACCCAGAGAGAAAAACGCTTTCTAAAAACAGACCATCAAATAAAAATGATAATTCAGGCTAGCTGATGCACCAGCCATTAAAATTTCAGGTGTAGGGCTAGGAATTGATGTGCTTTTCTTTCTGATGTACTTGATGTTCTTATCCACATGGCTTGCCCACCCTCAGCCACTGAAATAGAAGCTGCCAAATTCTTGAATCTTATGTTGAAGTGCTACATGGAAAGCAAGTCAATTTTATAGAAATCAAGGATATGTATAACTACATACTGTATTTTTCCTCAAAACAATATTTAGTGTATTCAAATATTTAATCTGTTCAAACAGGCACCAAATTTGCAAATAGAGCTGCAGAATTTAAAAAAAACCCAAAAACCTTAGAAAGTGTTATTTTTCATTATTTATATTGATATGACAAACCTATCTTTGTGAATGATACTATGAATAATAGAAGCTAAGAAACGTCTTGACTTAAGAGCTTTTTAGTGAAGACATAGTTCTGAATCTGGTCCTGGAGAATGGGGAATTTTGATGAGAAAGTGATTTGGTAGGTGACACTGAGGACATGGTGACCTTTATGGGGCCACTCACTAAAGCTGCTTGAATCAGAACCCCAGTGCACATCCACGAAAACTCTGGGCATTGTAGGAAAGTATTAAATACACGAAAGTGTAACTATCGCATGCAGGAACTTGCTGCAGGACCAAAAACGCCTTCAACAATACACTTAGAAAAATAACACTAGAAGCAAAGAGGTAACCCAGGCACAAGGTGAGCGCTTTACTGCTGAACTGAATAGCAGCAGAAATTGAAAGATGGAAGAACAAGGACGCACAGCAGGCACAGGAGCAGCCCAAAAGGTGCCTTAGGGCAAGCCAGTCTACCAGGCAGTAAGGAAATAGCTCCAGGAGCCGCGGTGTCCCGGCAGGAGCAGCCCCCGCACTCAATACCTGGTGGAGCGCGGGATCCCCGCAGCGCGGCCCGCTGAGCTCATCGCGCCCCTGCGGAGCGCCAGGCTCTCTGTGGGCGGGGAAGAGCGGCTTCGGGCACCCCGGTAGGCGGGCGGAGGAGGGTGGCCGGCGGGAACCCCGCTGGAAAAGACCCGGGATAAAGGTCCCGGGAGGGGGATCCCGCCGCCGCCTCCTCCTCACAGCCCCAACGGCCACACAACCGCCACACCGGGCCCGCCGCGGCTTAAACGGCACCACGCCCCGCCCCCGCCGCCTCCTCCAATCACAGACAGGCTTTCATGCGGAACAGACGACCTGAGCCAATCAGCTCTCGCGGCACGGGCGGCAGCGGCTCCGCGCTGGTGCGTCTGGGAATTGTAGTCCCGGGGCGGCCGGAGGTTCCCCGGCGCGTGCGCGGCTGCGGGCGGGGCCCAGGGAGGAGAGTGGGGCCTGCGCTTGGTGACCCTGTTTGTGTGAGGGCGGCGATTCGATGGGCAAAAGAAAAGAAACCTTTATCCACGCCAGCAAAACACGCTGTGCAAAACGCCCCTTCTCCTTTGAAAATGGCTTGGCATTCGGAAGCAGCTACAAGAAGTTACTGGCTCAAATTCTGGCTGAACTGAATGTGTCCTTTAGGTCATCCCGATGCCTTTTAGCTTCCTCATCCATCTCATGTATTCTCAGTTGTACCTCGTAGTTGCCATTTATGCACCAAACGATTTCCTAATTTATTAAGTGTGCTAGAGAAAAAACAATTTGCTCGGTAATAAGCCATGGTTCTTTTTTTCCCTTAACACTCTGTTTAAAGACATAGACTTTCTGTATGACAAGGGAAAAAATAGGCTTACTTACTAAACCATGAGGTTCTTCCTCATCACAATTTGCAGTTTCCTTGTGAGGGGAAGAAGAGAGGCAGGCATTTTTTTCAAAGATGAGAAAAATGCCCCCTCGGGTTATCTGGGATATTTAGGTTTTTGCTGTTAAGAAAACCTACAACATTCCCAGCATTGCCTTCCAGAGACCTCCACTAGCCTAAACATATTAACATAAAAACAAAACAATCTTGAAGAGTCTACAGGGGAAACCAGCAAAAGACTGGGTCTCAAAACAAAGCTTTTGAGCATGGATATTTTTCCTTCTGTAATTCCTGGCTAAATTATTGCTTATCTTAGAAATTGGATACGTGGTGATTCTGTCATTGGGAATCCAAGACATATGTACTTCCTCAAAAGAAATGTGGTACAGCTCATCAGAAGAAAGACACAACCAAATAATAAAAGAAGAAAAAGTGGAAGAAGCTCATAGAAATCTATAATTTCTAGATACTGGTAAGGAAACATCTGCATCCCACATGCTTATATAGTCTTACATAAAATTATCAAGTATCCATCTCAGAAACCCCTTACAAAATGCAAGAATACTTAGGAACAACACAATAACCTCAATTTATTAAATGTTTTATAAGATCAGTTTAGTCTTACTTGTAACTTCTGTCAAAATCAGCTATTTGTATTGGAGGTGTGTTTCCCTCTTGTAAAATGTGGGTGACAACTCTTTAATCTGGCAGGGAAATGACGCAGAAAAATGTTTTGATCTGCATGCAGCAGATCTCGTAAAGCCTCCTGGTAAATGGAGGAGGAAATTAACTTTTTGTGAGGCTGAAACAGAACGCCAGCACGGAGGTCTGAATAATGAGTGAGAATGAAGTGAAATGTGGTGTTTGGTAAACACTGAAGGCACAGTTCTGGTTAAAACCAAAAATACATGCGATTTACTTTGGAAGACTGGATAGGTAAAAGATACAGATCTCTCTGTGACCAGCGATAGGACCCGAGGGAATGGCCTGGAGCTGTGCCAGGGCAGGTTTGGGTTGGATATCAGGAAAAGGTTTTTCCCCCAGAGGGTGGCTGGGCACTGGAACAGCTCCCCAGGGCAGCGGTCACAGCACAGCCTGCCAGAGCTCAAGGAGAGTTTGGACAACGCTCTCGGGCACACGGTGTGATTGCTGGGGTGTCCTGTGCAGGGCCAGGAGCTGCACTCGGTGATCCCTGCGGGTCCCTTTCCCATCCCGACACTTCCATCCGTTACCAGCGCCTCCCGAGGGCAGGGACGGCCGGGGCGGGGCCTGCGGAGGGGGCGTGGCCCGGGAGGGGGCGTGGTCTCTAGCGGCGCTCCTGACGTCCGGCACAGACAATAGGCGACGCGGCCCCGCGGAACCGGAAGTGAAAAGCTTGGCTTTCGTCGCACATTCCTCCGCGGCGGAAGTGGCAGTGGGTCCGCCCTCCCCGGTCCCCGGTCCCTCCTGCCCCTCGCAGTGCCTTGAGGGGCGGCGAACGGGGACGATTTGCGCTGGAATCTGTCGCAGGAGCATCCCCAGTTGCGGCGGGCGCGGAAGTCACCTCGGCAGAAGAAGCGCGGCGGAGGGACTACTTTTTGGATCGGAAGGCAACGTGCGAAAACTTCCGGGGAGGGCTTAGAAAGACGCGTCACTTCCGGCAGGCCGGGACGCGAGGAGCGGGGCTCGGGCGGGGGGAGCGGCCCCGGCCGGGACAGCGACAGCGGCATTCGGCAGCAGGTCCCGCAGCCCTGCCCGGCAGCGCCGCCGGGGGATGCGCCTCGGCCCCCGGCCCAGCCCCTGAGCCCTCCGGCTGCCCCTCTTCGCCCTGCGCTCCCGGCGGCGGCGGCGTCCCCCTCCCCCTGCGGCCATGGCGGGGGGCGGCGGGTCGCGCTACGCGGCCGAGTTCGTGCCACCGCCCGAGTGCCCTGTGTTCGAGCCCAGCTGGGAGGAGTTCAGCGACCCGCTCGGCTTCATCGGCCGCATCCGCGGCCTGGCCGAGAAAACTGGCATCTGCAAGATCCGGCCCCCCAAGGTACCGCCCGCCTGGAGGGCTGCGCCCCGGGGGTCCCCGGGATGCGCCGGGCCTTCTGACCGCGGCCGAGACTTCGGGGGCCCGGCAGAGGATGTGAGGAGCTGGGCAGGCCCTTCCCCCGCGCTCCGTTCTCGCTCGGGGTTTCGTGTGTCGCTTTCCATAGGCCGCGGTGTCCGTGCCAGGGACGCCGAGGAACCTGTAGAGTCTTTGACCTCCGGGCGGGGCTTTGTAGAGGCTTCTTTGGAGCAGCTGAGAAGTGAATAGTGCATGGCAGTGCCCGGGACTCCACGCTATTTTTACTTCCAAAACGCCAGCAGTCGACTCGTGAAAGCTGGGAAGGCTTTGTAGATGAAATGAGGCGTTTGCTGCGGGCGAGGAAGAGGGAGAACGAAGGGTATTTGTTCGTAATGGATCATTGTTTATAAACATAATATTTAGACCGTTAAGAGGAGGACGGCCAGCCTGTTCGTGTACGGGCATTAGGGTTGTGCGCAGCTCTTCAGGAGGCAGCAGCTTCATCTCGCCGATGGCTTGGTAGTTACTGAGGGTCACCTGCCCAGTGACCTGGCAAGGCAGGTCATCACAGCGAGAACATCAGGCAGCTTGGCAAAAGGCACTTACATCACTAAATTATTAAAGTACAAATAAACTTCAAACGCAGCTGTTAATAAGAGGCTTGAAAACAGTGAGAGAGGTAAAAACCTGTTAAGAAAGCATGTAACTGAGAACAATGTGGGTATAGAGGTTGCTGGTTGGATTTCATGGTTCTTTCTCTCCTGACCAGTTTTGGTTCCCGGAATGTGTTTAGTTGGTTTAATGACATGGTGAAAACTTGACCTCCAAGGGGCTGCCCTTTCTAAAATAAGCTGCATAGCTCAGGTTGAGAGGCCACAAGGAACGGCTCCAGATCCTGTTCATTGGGAGTAGCTGGAACTTTCCTGACTGTTGGATACATTTGTGTTTCTCCGGGACTGCTGAGCTGTTTGCCTTGCAGGGTTTCACAGGATGCACGCGTTGGGTTGATTTGCAACCTGCAATAATTACTAAATCACACGTTTCATACTGACTGATTAATTGCTCTTTTATATTATTAGAAGTTGTAAATATTTAAGGTTGTGCTTGAGGCCTTTTTATGCTGCAGCAGAGCAAATGAGAAGCATTTTGTGTGGCTTGTCCACCTGTAATGGCGTGTCCTTCCTCTGGTGCAGTCACTGCCAGTTAGACAATCTGCTGTAACCGAAGCTTTGGAAAAAAGTGCTAAAAAGCTGAATTACTTGTTTTGATGTTGTAATGCAGTTTTGAGAGATGGGGCTGGGAGGCACTTGTGGCAGTGCTGAGAAATTCGTTATTTAAGGCTCCATTTCTGTTAAAGAATTGGGCTCCCAACTGGGGGTCTTGTCTTTATTGAAATGACTGTAGACAAGCAGAAAAACGTTAGATGTGCTGTAATGTGACTGATTTAATCTTCGTTGCTGTTGACACTGAGGTTTTTCAGTGTTCAAGATACATGGATTCTTTTTAAAAAGTAAATAAAGAATCGAACAGCTACAGTGTATCTCGTGTTTAAGCTTGGCATGAGGTAATGCATACTGAGATGCATTTGAACCTTATTTTCTTTGACATTTTTGAATCTATGAGGATCTTTCTTCTAACTGAAGTATGGTGGGAGGAACATTGTTGTATAAGCACAAAAATGTCTTAAAATTGGAAAATTATATCACCAGTTGTTCTGAGAAACTAATTTACTGTTGGAAGCTTGTTTACTTAGGCATTATTAGGGTGTTTGGTTTTGTGCATTTTTCAGAGAAGTTTCTGGAAGCAATAAAATGTCTTTCTGTCTCTGTTTAGGACTGGCAGCCTCCATTTGCATGTGAAGTACAAAGTTTTCGTTTCACTCCACGAATTCAGCGCCTGAATGAACTGGAGGTGAGCTTTTCCACTGTTGATATAATTTTGTGTTTGCACTGAAAGCAAGAGGTCTCCCTGCTTGAGATTTGCATCTTGGCAGGTTTCTGGATGGCAGACACTTTAAAAGCCCATACACCACATCAGTTTATACTTGACAGTGGCAGACTTTGTATAAAATAATTCTTCCTGGCTTTGAGAAAAATTTGGTTTTTATTTTATTACCCAAAATAACCACAAGAGTTTTTCATATTCAAGTGGAAGTGTCT